AACCATTTTAGATTTTCAAGAAAAAATTCAAAAGACAAATTTCTGGCCTCAGCTGACCAATAAAACAACATAAATTAATGTGGCCTTTTTGGTGCTGGTGAGGTCTGATAACTATATTTAATAGACTCCTCTTTGAAAAATCTTATAATACTATAATTCAACTATAGGATAAGCCAGGTTATGTTCCTGTTTCCAAAGAGAACAAAAAATAAATCTGTGTGAGTGCAATATACTAAATGCTAGAATGAATACTTACCATGCATATTTCCTTAAGCTTTTCTAGCACTGAACAACACACACTTTTATTTTAATCATAACAAAACACTTATGATATATGTATCATCCCTATTTTACACATGAAGACACAAAGCTACAGTTATTGACTCACTAGACCAAGCTCACAGGAAATGACAGACAATGAGGATGTGAACTCAAAGGATTCTGATTCGAGCTCTTACGTGGTACACAATGCCGCAAGCATTATTTCTCTAAGTTTGTTTACCTTTTTCCATGTAAATCTGAGTGTTCAGATCCCTGATATGTTAATCTACTTACAATTATTTGTTTGGATGTATTTTTCTTTGTGTTTTTTTTTTTTAATCTATTTATAACCAACAAGCAAACTCCATAATGTTACATGGCAAGAGTAAAGAAAGAGTTCAGGGGCCTGTGGCAGTATTTTCACTTGAGGTCTATTTGGTTGTAAAGGAAAAAGAACTAATCAATTGCTAACTGAAGACAGTACAGTTTAGTTGTAATAATGGTTACAGTAATGAGAGGTTAAAAGGGTCAAAACACTGAACCGGGTGTTAAAGTTCTTAATGGTAGTCTTTGGAAATAAACATTAGACTACTCAACTCTACTTGAGGTTATACAGGGGATAAATATGGTTCCATTGAGTGGGGTTCTACTACATGTCTGAATGTTAGAAAATTAGTTTGTTGTTTTCACTCATAAAATGAGATGGCTGGACAAAGTACTTTCCAAGGTCCCTTTCAGTATTAATATTTCATAAAACTAAAAAGCAAACTATACTTGATGAATTATGTCTAACTCATAAGGTTCTTCAAAATTTAATGTCTTATTTATCTTTGACATGTGATATATTCTTTGCTTTTTATTTTTTGGCAAGTCATAACCCAATCACGCCTTTAAAATGGGGGTAATACGTATAAACCATGCCTACTTTATAGAATTTTCCCATCAATATGATGATACATGTAAACTTTAAAAAAATTAAGAATGCACATAACATTAAATGTTTAATTAAATATTAAGTGATTCACTATTAAAATCATGTTAAAATAGGGTGTCTTAACGCAAATGCCAATCTACTAAATTATTCAATAAACAAGAGCATAAGATTCTACTTGAGGCAACAGATATAAAGTTTTATGGTACATGTAAGCAATTTAAATACTAATTTCTTTATTTGTCTACTGACAGCATTTACCAGGACATTTAAGACATCAGGAATATTGTCTTTGACCACAGAAGTTCAAAAGAAAAACAAATTCATTTTTTTCTCATTATCTTTTCTATTACAGATGTTTTGTATTTGTTTATTTAGATTCTGCCTCCATTCTAGAAAAGATTAAAGGAAGCTGAAAGGATATATTAACTACAAGAAAATTTCAGAAGTGTAAAACTGGACAGAAAAAAGAAAGAAAAACAAGAATAAAGCCATCAATTAGAGCCAGGAATAAAGCTCAAAATGTGTTTGCCATAAACATTTATATACTTCTTATTAGAGAGCCATAAACTGGCTCTAAGCTTTCTGGCAATAAATGCAGCAAGCAGCTTCCAGTGTAATGAGATTCAGTAAAACAATTCCATTGGGAGGTAAATTGACGTCTTCCTTGTGCCAGTCTCTGCAGATCTGGATTGATTTAGGGATAAATTTTTAGATAATGAAGAAACATAGAAGGAACTGCATATCTTTCAAATAATCTTCCCCAAATATTATTTCTGTAAGCTGTGGGCACTATTGAGTTTAAGACTATTCCCTGATAAAATATACAGCATAAAATTACTCAACAGTAGCATTTAAATGCAGATCCATGCGTCTCAACAAACCCTAAATTTTAAGAAACTGTGTATATGAGCTATATACGCTCTTTCAAAACTTGAGGATTTGATCTTTAAAAAGACTTGGCCATGTCCCAAAAGGCCTCCCCACTTTGTAGAGTGCAACGCCACAGGAGCACTAGCTTAGAAAAGTTTTTCTAAATCTCTAACTGAAAGACAGTGAGTGACCTCTGCCTGAAGAGTCTACTCCTTACAGCTTGGCACAACAATGTCAGTCTGGAAAAAAAAAAAAGTCTCACTAACATAAAAACAGCTGTCCACTCAAGGTCATAGAGAAAGTAATTCAATAAAACACATATGGAACGTTTAACTTGGCACTAAGCTTATAAAAACTACCTATTAAGTATAAACCAAGGTAATTTGCAGAATAGGTCTTTTAAATAAAAGTCAGTCATAGTACATTGAACCGAATGAAATAATGTTAACTTGTACAAGTAGTTGTCAACTCATGTCATGCCACTGTTAGATTGAGATAAAATACGAAACTGTCATAAGAAAACGATTGTGTTATCCTCTATTAGGGAACAGGCATGCAAAAGCTCTATCAAAACATTGAGAATTAAGTTAAAGAGAAGAGAGGTCAGAAAATAATCATGTTACTCTGATGCAGTATGTGACCTGTTCTCTCAAAAAAATATTCCTGCTGACCCTGATGCTAGAAACAGTAATATGGGGCAGATTCTGATAGGAGATCAATACCTGGGGTGGGAAGTCAATGTTGAGCTTTGGTCTCCTGACCAAAGAAGTGAAGGTTGGGGAAAGGATGCATATTAATTTCTGTGAGATTAACGTAACATTTTAACATGATTTATGAATCGACTTCAGCCAAAGGCTTAGGTTTGAATTAATTGCTGTCTTGAATTAATTCCAGTCTTCCAGTCCAAACAAATAACATTCTAAGGTATGGAGAAAACTTGCAGAAGTACCTCACCCATCTGAGGTACTTAAAACTGTTGAATGAATGGCTGAATGACCTAAGGTGCTATTTGCTAATACTGAGAAAAATGTGCATGATATGAGAACATGAGAACAAATACAGTCCCAATATTTTTAAATGGAATAAATTGAGTTTGTTTAAAAGAAAAAGACTACAAACCAGTGTTTCCAAATTATCAGTGAAATTCTGTTGACATTTTAAATGAATACTTCCTAGCTCTTTTCCCAAAAAAAGCTAGTAGTACCATAATAATAGGTAAAGGAAATGATGCAGGTCTTAATATGTCTACGTTTCAATAAAGCATTTGAAAGAATCTCTCACCCTCCACTTACGGGCAAGGTGCAGAAATAAGAGCTGGTTAATAACAAAATAATGCCATTTGATGAGCAGTCTAACCTTTACACTGGAAAAAATTGATTAATGCATTGTTATCAACCAGGAGGATGCCATCCTGCACAAGTATATAGGGCTTGGTCTTTAGACTTAGTCTATCTATTATTTGATATTATTATCAAACACTTGAAGAGAACATAACTAGCTAATACTTCTCAAACACACAAGCCTATAGAAAACATCTAATGCACCGGATGAAAAACTTAGTATAAAAAATTCTTAACAGGCTACAATAATGAGATATATCCAATAAGAAAAAATGTATTAGAGACAATGTACAAGCTCAGTTCAAACACCAACCTCCTCATTTCTCAGGTCAGTGCTCTTGTTACACTTCAACACATTCAGGCATCAAAAGAGAGATGACTTTCTAATCAGTAATAACAGTCCAGGATGGGTCCTGAGCAAAGAGGCCAGGGATGGAGATAGAACCCAGACTGGTTTGATCTGGTCTTTAGTTCACAAAGTACAATGCGTTTAGCTTTCCCACTCAGTCATTAATCACTCTGAGATATGGCCTAAGCATTTATTTAGAGGCTCAGGCTGTGAGCCATTAGAAATTGACTGTAACAGAGCTGGAAATCATACAAATCCCTGGGGTAACAAGTCTCCCAAATTTCTACTGAGGGTAAACTAAAAAAAAGAAAAGATATCTGGAAAAAGCATTTAGCACGTATGCCTGTTCTATGAATGTGTTACAGCCCAATTCTGATTAACAACAAAAAATTAACATAAGTCAGCCCCTAGATTAAGAAAAGTTAAAAAAAAATATTGATTTGTGATGTTTAAGAAAATGGAACAACAACAGGCACTCCAGCATTAGACACCTTTAATTAAAAACACAAAGTAAATGGACGCATCCCCCAATGAATGGCTTTCCTTAGCTGACTGCAGAATTGCTTATTAGGTAAATCTGTTATGGCAACAAGCCACTTCAACAGAGATCAATGTAGTTGGAAGCCAAGTAGACATATACTCCAGACATTAACCAAAGAGCTATTCTTTTTTTCCTTTTTTTAACTTGAAGAACTGGAAGAAAACACTCTTACCAAGTGTCTTTTGAAACATTATTTCAGAAAGTTAGGCATAATGGGGAATGTAAAAAAATGCATACCAAAAGTGAGGATTAAAATATGACCTATTTTCATTTTGACAAAAATGGCCATACAATTTCTGCTACATGTTTACCTCCAAAATTTTGATGTACTGAGTGGAAGAAAGTATCCGTGGATCATAGTTAATGCCTTTATTATTAACAACTCCTCACATTCCATCCCAAGTCATTTCCCATGTCAATGACAGCATATTTATAAATACTGGTTACCATCAGCCTGGAAAAGCCTATCATCAGGCAGTAAAGTGTTTGTTAATCACTGACTGACTAGAACAGAACCATTGGGCATGCATGTGTGTAGATGAGTTGTGTGAAGAGTTTTCAATGTTTTCCTTTATTAGCATTAATTTTTTAATTCATGCATTTGTGAATAATATAAACAGAAACAAAATTAATCTCTACCTCATCTCTTAAATCTGAAAACACAGCTTGAGTTAAAGTACTGTATTTCCTTATCAAAGTTAATACCTCCTACTCCAGCTCCCAATTCAAAATTCCAGGACAGCGCGTAGCAAGCTTCTTGGTAACCAGCTCTCTTACGCCAGAGTCTCTTCTGGACCTGTAAAGTTAGGGACAGAGTTCTGCATGCTCATTCCTGGGAGGCTGGCACTTATTCCAATAAGGAGCTCCTACTAGCTTCTCAACGCCAGTGAATAAATTTTAAAACACTGTTCCTATATGATCTCAGTAGCCAGAAAATAATCACCATCCTTTTCCTCCTTGTGGCTATCCTGTCAGGAAATTTTATCAGATAAAATACTATTATCTAATAAAACAGAAGCTTAAAAAGTAACTCGTAGTGGCATGGTGCTTTAAGAAAGGAACTTAACAATAAGCCCATTGGCCATACTTTCTGAGTTCAAAAGGCACCTTTGGGGAATTAAGTTTATGGAAATAATATAAAATATGTTTTTAAAGATAAATATAAAATTTAAGAGAAAAAATATGGAACCATTAGGATAAGTTGGTCAACTATAATAATTTCTTAAGCATATGTTCTAGACTTTGAAAATTATGATCACAGAAACTGTATCAAAATAAGGTGGAAAAACATTATTTAATTAAAACATTCAAATTTTCAAACAGAATATGTTTAGAGTACACACAGAATGTGAAACATATATTTAGAAAAATCTGGAAAATGTGAATATATTAATTGTAGCTATGTTCGATGTTCGATAGGACTTTGAATATTTTTAAAGTCTATTTTTAACTTTTTGTAGCATACTATTTGAGTAATTATTTTCAAAAAATACTTTTCTAATTAATTGAATCAAACTTTTTGGGAAAAACAATCTAGGTGATAGTGATTTCTTATTTTGACCCTTTAAGAGGATTATAGGAGGAAAAAGAAATCTGTATTTGCAAACATTGGATCATATTATAGCACAAAGCAGCAATTATTTCTCTACATCAATACAGAAAGGCAGTTTGATATCCTGCTGACCCCCGTACCATGATCCAATCTGCTGAACCCTGCAGAGCTTGGCAGTTCAAGGCCAAGTAGACAAGGCCAGTATCTGAGAACAGGGCCAGCCAGATGTGGACTTCTCCAAATAAAGCAAAGGCAGGAGGTGCTGACTGAGCTTTCAGGTCTAATGGTAAAGAAAACAATCTTTAGGTTTTACTTATCCAAAAATGATCTGTATTTTATAAAGAATATAATTATCCTTCCCCATTCCTTTTTCTCCCCTCAAATATTCCTTCCAAATAAATGTGAATGGGGCAAAGGCTGAAGGAAGAGAGTTCAGGTGTCAAACAGGAAGCCTCCGAGGTTAAGTTGATAAATTAGTTTTCTCTTAATTTCACTTTTATCACCCTATTCTTCTTCTTAGAAACCTCCAGGAACACCCCATGCCTGTCACTTCAGTAGTCTAGAATCAGGGAATATATATATATATTTAGTAGTCTAGTGAATTGTGTGCTAAATACCCTATACAGCCCTATTTACCTCATAGGGATTCTGTAAAGATTAATTAGTAGATACCTCCAGAAGGCACTGTGAGCTTTTTTGTAAAATTAGTGTACTATATATATATGTACCTATAAGTATATATATATATATATATATATATATATATATATACACATATAAATCTTATTTTCCACAAGTCCTTCCCTGGAAGCAGCACTGTACCTTGGTGATTAGAAAACTTCCCCTCTTCCTGGATCCGCTTGCCTACAAATGAAAACCCCCTATCTCTGCACTTACCATCCCACCAATTTCAAACACACTCTACATCCCTCTCTCTTGAAATCCTAATAGATGGCAAAAAGGTGCAGACCAGTGGCCATATACTTATCCACAAACTCAAGTTTCTTTCAACATCCAAGTATCCCTGTCAGAATTAATCTGCTCTCTTTGCATATTTCACTGAAATAGGAATCCACAAACAACTGCAGTTTTCTACATGTTCAATAGCTAAAAGAAAGCAAAGAAGGTAAAGAGAGAAGGCAACATGGACACACTGAGGGAAAAAAAAAAGAAGGAACCTGGTAGCATAAGATTAGCAAAGAACTGATTCTCTGGCTTTTCTTTTCTGCTGCCTGGTTTGTGTTTTTCCCCAATGAATCCATATGCTACAGTGGGGGAACCACCACTAAAGCATCTTATGACTATCTAGACATGGCTGTCGACTGAAAAGAGTGAAGCTCCCTCGCTAAAGGAGAAAACTCTTTAGGATGTTGGCTCACGCCTGTAATTCCAGCACTTTGGGAGGCCGAGGCGGGTGGATCACGAGGTCAAGAGATCGAGACCATCCTGGTCAACATGGTGAAACCCCGTCTCTACTAAAAATACAAAAATTCAGCTGG